TTGATCAAAGTAGTGCTAAAATTAATAAACGTAAGGATTAAGGGGTGGGGAGTTTTTACCCAAATTGGCCTTGTTGGATCTGTTTTGCCATTTTAGCGTAACCATCCAGAATCTAACAGCAGATTTTCTGAGGTGTCATGTACATATGCTCACTCTGGTACTTTATTTCTCACTTTGCTTTGCAAATTCAGAACAACCATCAAGTTAGTGTTTGCTTCTCATAAATAAATAAGTAAATAAATGAATGAATAAAACCAACCAACCAACCAAAAAAACCACCCCACTTTTATATGTTTTGTATCTAAGCTCCTCAAGGTAAAAAGACATTGTTACTGAAGGATGTCAGCTCAGTTGCTGGCAGAAATATGCATAGTTCAGATGGTTGTACAGGATGGTTTCTTTTCTGTGTACACTGGTTACAATGTAGCAATAAAGAGGTGACATTTTGGTATTAAAGCTTTTTAAGCCCTTTACAAGTAAGCTATTTAAATGTTGAATAAGGATTTAAACGTTGATCCATTTTAATGCTAGTGCATGAAAACTGCGCTATTATATATGGGACCCATTATCATAGAATCATAGAACAGTTAGGATTGGAAAGGACCTTAAGATCATCTAGTTCCAACCCCCCTGCCATGAGCAGGAACACCACACACTAAACTATGTCGCCCAAGGCTCTGTCCAGTCTGGCCTTGAACACCGCCAGGGTTGGAGCATTTACAACTTCCTTGGGCAACCCATTCCAGTGCCTCACCACCCTCACTGGAAAGAACTTCTTCCTTTTATCTAATCTAAACTTCCCCTGTTTAAGTTTAAAGCCATTACCCCTTGTCCTACCAGTAGAGTCCCTAACGAAGAGTCACTCCCCAGCATCCCTGTAGGCCCCCTTCAGATATTGAAAGGCTGCTGTGAAGTCTCCACACAGTCTTCTCTTCTCCAGGCTGAACAGCCCCAACTTTCTCAGCCTGTCTTCATACGGGAGGTACTCCAGTCCTCTTATCATCCTTGTGGCCCTCCTCTGGACTTGCTCCAACAGCTCCATGTCCTTTTTATGTTGAAGACACCAGAACTGGACACAATACTCCAAGTGAGGTCTCAGAAGAGCAGAGTAGAGGGGCAGGATCACCTCCTTTGACCTGCTGGTCACACTTCTTTTGATACAGCCCAGGATCCGATTGGCTTTCAGGGCTGCAAGAGCACACTGCTGGCTCATGTCAAGTTTCTCATCAACCACCACCCCCAAGCCCTTCTCCGCAGGGCTGCTCTGAATCTCTTCTCCGCCCAGCCTGTAACTGTGCCTGGGGTTGTGCTGACCCAGGTGTAGGACCTTGCACTCGTCTTGGTTAAACTTCATAAGGGTGGCATCAGCCCACCTCACAGGCGTGTCCAGGTCCCTCTGGATGGCATCGCTTCCCTCGAGTGTATCAGCTGAACCACGCAGCTTGGTGTCATCGGCAAACTTGCTGAGGGCACACTCAATTCCGCTGTCCATGTCACCCACAAAGATATTGAACAACACAGGTCCCAACACCAATCCCTGAGGGACACCACTCATTACTGGTCTCCAAGTGGACATTGAACCATTGACCACAACTCTTCGTTTGCGGCCATCCAGCCAGTTTTTTAGCCATTGAGTGGTCCATCCATCAAATTGATGTCTCTACAATTTAGGGACAAGGATGTCATGTGGGACAGTGTCAAATGCTTTGCACAAGTCCAGGTATCCCATTGTTTAGTTTGCAAATAACAAAAAGATAAGCTGAATTCATTATTTGAGGGGAAAATAAGCATCCTCAGTTTTGTTGCAGATAAAATTTATTTTATTTTACAAAAATAAGATAATTAAAAGGAAAATTAGCAGATATTTAAGATGGGAATAAATACTCAGAATTTAGAAAAAATATGGCCATTACTAATGGTGTTAGGTGAAAAGCCATTTCATGTTCTGACACAATTTGAAATATTTATTGTATAAATGCATTTCCCAAATGTGGTAGCTTACCGTCATAATGCCCAGCAATGTATAGAATGATATCTCTTTAGCCCATTTTGTTTTCTGGTTACTTTTACGGAAATTAAAATTTAAGGATATTTCAGTCTTTTCAACTGTGCAACCAAGTGATTTTCTTCGCTTCCTGCTCAAACAGTCCCAGCAGTCTTAGTCGTGTTGCCTAGATACTCCATCTCCTGCAGCATCTGTAAATTGGCCAATTTAACAGGAGGATAAATATTCTAAATAAAAGAGAAATCTTGGGGCAGGGAGGGGAAATCCTTTGTTACTGGTGGCCTGAGTACTGCAGTGAATTTTGCTGTTGAGAAAAATAAGTTCTTATTTGCTCAGCTGTACAGGGTTAATCAGGAGAATTGCTCGTATGTTCAGAATCTGGTTATGTACATGAGGGTAAAAGTATTTTGTAGCCTGAGATGTCTGTCCCTGTCAAGCAGAATGGCTCTTACTTCTGTTGTTTTTTGGGTTTTTTTTCTTCTTCCCCTGGAATGTATTTAGCAAGTAGTAAGCTTTGAATTTATATTCAGAAATATGTTTAACAGTCATATTTCATAATTCAGTTCTGCAAGCATGTGCTTAACTTGTGTACACTTCAAAAATAATGTAATCCAAAATCAAGTAACTTGCTTCTACATGGGTATGTGAAAGGCTGTATTAATATAGTGGAATACGATTTTGTGAATTACCATATATTTTATTATTTTGTGTTGGAGGTTAATTTATCTTGCCTGCCACGTTTTAGATAAATCTTTTTGCAAAGCGCTGATAAATACTTCTTTTTCTTCTTATCTTTATTCCTTCCCACAAGTGATTGCTGAGACAATTTTGTCAGTGTGGGTTTGCTTCTGTTAGTATTCAGAATTTTGTAAGCAAAGCAGCAAAAGAAACAATGGTTAATGCAGTTCTTTTAATTTTCTTGCACATGTACTTGCAGAAATTGCTAATTAAGTAACCAGGGTTTAAGGAAAATTATGATTGACAATTTATTCGTGTTTACAGTTTTTTAAAGGGCAAAGTTTGGAACATTGGGAGTTCAGGCTGCTATGTCTGCAGTAAGCTTAAAAAGCTATTTGCTAATGGGTTTAATTTAATTTTTCTCATCTTAATTCTTCCATTTTTAGATTGCACTGCTGGGCTGTAGAAACAGTGAAATGTACAAAAAGTTAGTTCACCTTTGGAGCTGGATTAAGCTTCCTAATGTATGCTTCATGCAAGAGGAAGCCTCTACTGCTTTAAAAAGGAACAATAACTTTTTTATGTACCTCTGCTTCTCAAATATTAATCTTCAGTTGCATTGTCAGAATTATAATATACAGAAGCAGCTGTGGATTTAGAATGCCATAAATTTTCCTTTTAATTGGAAGTAAAAATGAAAAAAACCTTTTGATATTTTTATCTTGCTTTGCTTTTTATCTCATTTTACATTTATTCTTACTGGCAGTTGTACCATTTTTTCACAAGATTCTATTTTTTTTCTGAAGGTAAATTGAATTCTGGAAAATTCAAGTTTTATAAAATGGTATGACAATGAGCTACCGCTCGCTCTATCAACAGAGGTACTGATTGCTAGGAGACCTCCTGCACATGCATGCTGTGAGCATTGCTCTGCAAGAGGTGCTTTTGCACTTGAGAGTATCTTAGTTGTCTCTTCCAAGTAAGCATGAATGTCTTTGTCCTAGTAAAATTTGACACTTACTCATACTTTAATAGTGTTATTGCTCCCTCTTGTGGTTCCTGCAACTCTGGAAGGTGTTTGGGTTTTTTTTCAGACCTGAGGTTTTTGTATTACAATAGTTAATCATTTTAGCACAGCGTAAATATGAACAATAAACACAAAAACCAGATTCTGTAAAAGTTATCTGATCCAATGTATCTTCTATTTTTATATACTCCTATTGTTATTAGCAACATAAAAACCACACTGTATTCAGGCTGAAAGCCCTATTAAAATGAGAACTGTCTGGGGCAGAGTTGAGTTGCCAGTTTTTTATTTAGTTCTGCAGAAAAGTAGAGAGGTAACTGTGTGACTTTTTTTGAATGTTGACATTTAACTAAGAAAATCCCTACTTCTGTAGTGTATTTCTGTTGCAGAAGTGTGATTGTAGATTTTTTTTTTTTTTGAAGGTTTAAATAATTGCGGACTTTTTTTGTATATGTAGTTTTCCACACAGCAGTACAACAGTGGACAGAGTCTGTAGTGTATCTGAAATTTGCAGAACAGTTGAGGATATCTAAGCATTCTGTCTCTGACTTGAATTCAGTGAGTTAACTTAGACATTTTTGTGTATATCTCTTTTCCATTTGTATTCATTATGTGCATTGTGGGAGTATCTTATCTTTTTAAGTATCCAGCAGTTTTGGTCTCTGTCTTCCTAGGTAATGGTACAATACCCAAAACAATGATTTCCAAATTTAAGGAGGTCACCAGATACTACTTTCCAGGTACCACTTAACTGAGACTACATGTGCTGTTCGATTTGAAGCTTGAAGTGATTAGAAATAAAGGCTGATACTGTAATCAGCATAGTATGTTACAAAACTTGAGAATACTTTCAAGATCATCTACTTAAAATACTGGTTACTTCAACTCTTTTAGATTGTTAGTGCCTTTGGCCATGGTGTTAAAGTACAATGGTACTTCAGAAACTGGAGAGAGTATTTTTTGGTAAGGATTTTTTTTTAATTCACAACAGTATTAGTGACTGCATTTAAAAAAGAAAAAGATCTTTCCATATTACCAAAAGGTATCATAATTTTAATATGACAAGACATCAGTTTTTCTATATAGGTCTTTGGTAGTTAGTACTTAGATTTATTTTGCATACTTGCAAAAGTCCTCAGTGAGAGCAGATGTTGCCTCAGTGGGATATAACCTTATACCATGAAATATCTGAGCTGATATGATTCTATGATATAGTTAGAATACTTTACTCTCTTGAGCTGTTTTCCCATATACATTTGGAAGTTTTCACATTTTGTTTTACCTCTCTAGGAAACCTTCTCATCCTCAGCTTGAGGCTTTCATTAAACATATGTCAAAAGGGTCTGCAGCCCAAATGGGTGGTTCCCTAAGCAGCCTGCCTCGCTACCCTAGCCATTCTTTGTGTGAAATGGGAGAGCTGACACAGACAGGTAAGTTTCAATAGCAGCTCTGTCTTTTCCTCTGCTCTGTTAAATACAATCTGCTTGAAAAGGGATCTTCTATTTTTCTTTATATTGAAATAAATGTTTTTTTTATGGGAAACTTACAATGTTGGTCATAGCCTAGGATATGCTGGCATATGAATAAAGTATTAGAGTCTCTGCGGTAAAAGTGGTAACAGTTCTAGAAACTGTGCTTTATCCTATAGCTTGCCAGTTCTGTTACAGATTCATCATGCTTGGTGTCTCTTTTAACTTTATTTGGAACAAGTCAGAGCACCCACACCACAAAATTGCTTGGTCACCCTTGTGAAAAATGGCATTGCTCAATCCCTCCTGAGGAAGGTCTGTAAGGGTCTGTAATTCAGTGTGGCCGCGGAACTGAAGAACAATCACTTAGTTGCCAGTTTTTACCTATGATGTGACTACTGTGTCCCCTGCAAGAGATTCAGATGTAATAGATGAATTTGATGCTTGTATTATAGAAATAGAAAAATTTCATACACATGTCGCTTTTTGCTTCTCTCCCAAGCTTTGCAATGAAAGCTCATGGGTTTTGGCATATTTATTTATGTATATTTTGCCACAGGTAAGTTAAGCTTATTTTCTTATTCCATCTATCAGATCTGCTGAGCTAGTTATTGAGAGGAAAGGTGGAAATATTAGCAATTAAATTCCAAACAACTTTTTTTTAAGATGAAGTTTTGAGACTTAATCAGTATTATCTCTGACAGAAAGACTGCTGAGCTCTGCTAGTGAACATATTGTTTAGTTTAGTTTATCTGTACCAAAAGGGTGGGGGAGATGGGAGGTAACTGGAAGTGATCCAGTCAGGGATTTGTCTATGTAGAAGAAAGTATGTGGAGAATTGTGAGTATGTGGTGCTGAGGGCATTGGGAATATTAGAAAGAGTTAAAGAGTCTGGGATTGGGTAGGGAAAATGGTACTGCTGGATCAGAACAGCAATAAAAGGGCCATTTGCAGAAGACCTGGGACTGCTGTCAGCAGGCAATAGAAAATAGGAGGGGAACAAAAGGTAAGAAGGCAGAAGTATAGAAACAAGTTGTCACTTTGTACGAAACCGATTCCACAGCTCTTGGAATTTTTTGTGTTCTCCTCCCAAAATTGACAGATGAATTGGTATGGGCTGAAGTCCATGTGTTTGTTTGCTGTGCTTATTTTTCTGCATGTATTCATATCAGTGAACTGAACATACAGAAATGCTTTCCCACAAACATGTGGAAACATACTGTGCACCACTGGGCAGAAACGTGATTGTGAAAAGGATTGTTCACATGTGGATTTTTCTCTTCAACATTCATGAATTTAACAGACAATTCACATTAATAACACTTCCTGTTCTGCTGTATCTTTTGAATTTTAACATTGATCCATTCCATTTTATTCCCACGTCTTGCTTTTTACTGTGTTGCTCTTTTTATCTTGAATACCAATGACGGAAAGAGCATATCATAGTGGATCCGGGTAGTCAATGTGTGTCGTGGTTCAAGCCCAGCCGGCAACTTGGAACCACGCAGCCGCTCGCTCACTCCCCCCCCTTTTCCTTCCTCCCCCCGCTCCCGGAGGGATGGGGAGGAGAATCGGAGGAATGTAACTCCCACGAGTTGAGATAACAGCTCTCCAGTAACTAAGGTATAATACAAATCACTACTGCTACCAATAATAATGATAAGAGGAATAACAAGGGAAAAGGACACAACCGCTCACCACCCGCCGACCGATACCCAGCCCAACCCGAGCAGCGATCTGGGCCTTCCGGGTAACTCCCCCCAGTTTATATACTGGGCATGACGTGCTGTGGTATGGAATACCCCTTTGGCCAGTTTGGGTCAGGTGTCCTGTCTCTGCTTCCTCCTGGCTTCCCCTCCTCTCTGGCAAAGCATGAGACTGAGAAAGTCCTTGGTCAGAGTAAACATTACTTAGCAACAACTAAAAACATCGGTGTTATCAGCATTGTTCCCAGGCTGAAAGTCAAAAACACAGCACTGTACCAGCTACTAAGAAGGAGAAAAAATGACTGCTGTAGCTGAACCCAGGACAGTATGTCTGGAGACTGACTAGGGAGAACAAAAAGAGTATTGAAGATCTGGGGAATTAGTGCCATTTTCCGCTTGCCACCTGTCTTTCCAGGAATCTCCTTTATTCTTTAGTCCAATACTTGCCTGTCATATTCTCGTAAGTTCTGGGATCCCATTAGAATAAATGCTTGTGTTAAGCCAGTGTCAAGTCTTGCAAAGTGGTGTCAGGAGAAATCTAGTCAGCTTACCAAAGAACTCCTCCTAACACACTATGTTGTGTGTGAAACTGGACTCAACACAGCAGCTTGTAATTGAGATAGTATTTGGGACTCATACTGCCTGTAGCAAGCTATATAGATGTTCTGGTTCATAAAGGGTTCATGCCTGCTGCTTTGCTGCTGTGGGAGGATAACACAAGCAAGGTGGATCCTGGAGTAAAGGTTTTGGCATGTGAGAAGGATATGCACCTTCTTCCTTTCCAGCTGGATAAAGGCAGAGCATTAGTGTAAGAATGATCAAGCTTTTTTAGTACTTCCCTGAAGGAAGTTGGAGAAGGAAGTTTGATGCAATTGGCACACCTCACCACTCTGTTTTGTGATTTTACACGCTAGTTTACATTCTGTGTATTAGTTTCCTGGCTGCTGGTAGTTTTACTGGCTGCCATAAATTTGCAGGGAGCACAGCATTCACTGCCTGCCTGAAAACCTGACTCAGGTGCAGTCTGGATCCATCATCATAACCGACTTTTAGTTATGCTCGACCCATTCAGCTGGTATCTCTAGTCAAAAAAAAAAACACTAAAGTTTGAAACAAATCTTATGGAACCAGCTTTATTTATCTACATCTCAGTTTAGCTCCTAGAATCTGAGACATACTGAAGAATATCAAGTATCTCACATTACATGCAATTTTCCTAATAGTTAAGCATAGGTGAATTTCAGTTTTGAACTTTTTTGACCTTTAAACTAATTGTTCCTTTATCAGTAGGACTGCTAGCTGTGCTTTTTTTCCTCCAAAGCTCAAAAGATTCTAATCATGTGGTAATTTCTTTTAAAATTCTCTTTCAGGGGTTGTGCAGCACTTGAAAAATGGACAACTATTGCGAGATATTTATATAAACAAACATAAACTGCTTCTGAGTGACTGGACAGCAAAACAGCTTTACTTGGAGACAACAGGAAAAAGTCGAACCCTGCAGAGTGCATTGGCCCTGCTCTACACTTTTTTGCCAGATTTTGACTGGAAGAAAATTAACATGAGGCATCAGTGGAGCACCATTTTTTGCTCTGGAAGCTGCAACTGTCCTATGCGAAACCACTACTTAGAAGAGGAGCAGCGCAGACAGTACAGTTTGCGGGTGAAAAACAATGACTTGGAGAAAATATATGTGGATATGGCAAAGATTGTAGGCATTCCCACCAGGCAGTTGAGAGCTTCTAACCCAATAGATTCTCTCTTGTGCTACTTTTGCCACAATGTCAGTTTTCCATGTACCAAAACTGGCTGCATTGATATGGAACACTTCAAAGTGATCAAAAGACATCAGTTGGAGGATGAGAGAGAAAGACAGGAAAAGAAACTTTATTTCTTGTATGCACTATTGGCTACTCATCCTCTCCTCAACCAGACTGTTAATCGGCTGCAGCGTATTGCAGAAGGCAAGAAAGAAGAAGTATTTGTTCTTTACTCTGCACATGATGTCACATTGTCTCCTGTTCTTAGTGCCTTGGGCATTACAGATGCCAGATTTCCTAGATTTGCTGCCAGATTAGTTTTTGAGCTGTGGCAGGATGGGAAGAGACCCAAAGATTATTTTATCCGCATCCTGTATAATGGCGCTGATGTCACATTCCAGACCTCGTTTTGTAGGGATTATTATAAACAGACCACCAAGCCCATGTGCCCACTAGAAAAATTTGTCAATTTTGTCAAGAGGGATGTGTTCCTAATTTTTAACAGCACTAGTTATTACGATGCATGTCATAGAAGACCACTGTAGGGAAGGAGAGTAGAAAGGAAGCAATGTTGACTTGCGTATCAGTGAAAGTCTCTATTCTGGTTGAGGCGCAGTTCACTTCTGTTATTTCTTGTACTTGTATGTGTAAGTACAAAAGGATATCGCTTGAAACATTCTTCAAATAGTTTTATTTTCATTCAGACTGCAGGTGGTCTCCAGCAGAAGAACAAGTACTGAGGGGGTGTTATGTGTATGTGTATGCTCACATACGCTGTGTGAACTGTGATGATAAGTCATGTGGCTGCTGTAACCTGGATGTCACTTGATAAAGAGTGAGAAAGCATAGACTTCATTTCTCTGTATTCCGGAGCAATACTTGGATACCTTAATTTTAAAACCAAGCCCATAATCTCACAGTCATTTTAAGCTGTTTTTATCAAGGTCTTTATGAATTCCAGGCATCTGTATTAAACCATTTATAATGAATTCTTGAACCTCCCTACTAAAAAAAAGAAGCCTTTTAATATTTAGGGGCAGGTCTTTAAAGCAAAGTGCATGTGTGTATCTGTGCATACTTACCTGAGCATGTACAAAGGAGCATGTGCCTTTCTGACCTCTTGGACCTATAAATATTTGGCTATTGCCAGTGCCAGAGAAGAGTGTACTGGAGAATAGATAAAAAACTCTGTTCTTTGATTGCACTTTCAGCACTTTGAATAGTTCAAACGCAGTCTAGAAATATGTAAAGGTCTTCTGACATTAAAATAGATAGCAAACACTATCATTACCACTAAACCTGAGTGGGAAATTAGAGTTAGAAATCTGTTTTGTGGTGAAGTGTTGGGCTCTTTCCTGTTGTGAACATGTTCAAACTGCTGTGCTATGGAACAGATCAGTGCTTTTGGAATTTGATGTAGTGACTGCTTGAGACAGCTTGACTAAACACTAAGAAAATTTTATAGTTGATTTAGTATTTTTATGGACTAGGAAGTTCTTATTTTGTAAGATCGGACTTGTATGTATTGTACTGTGTATATTTATAACACAGTAGATTTTTCTTACTTGTTTAGTTTGTAAAGAATTGTGAAGCTCACTTCTAGACATTTTTTCCCCTTGATCGGGATGTTTAGACTTAAGAACAAACTGTCTTTTATGGGTAACTTGAACAATGAGTAGATAGGAAAATTTGTACTTCAAACTGCTTTCGTCTCTTTAGGAGTGGTAAATTGAGAACCAAGTTTTAATAGAACTCATAGAAATTTTATAATGGTGGAAGTTTTTTTATGCCTCTAGAAATAATTTAGTCTGTAACTTGTGATTCAGTGGTGCTAGTTTGTCGAAGAAAACACAACTCAGCATAAATTTCCTGACTTTTGGCATTCCACTCTCTCTGTTTTCAATGCTGCATTTGAAAATGTTTCTTTAAATAAAATTTTGGGGCCTTTTTGTAACTTGTGTGTTACATTTATTCTTTCTTAGCTGTTTGCAGTAATAAGATGAGTGTGTATTGTGTAGCTGCTTGTTGCATTAGTAACTTCTGCTCTTAATACTTATTTTGGTTCCTAGTCTTACAAGGAGCAAGTAAGCATTTCATGAATACTGAAATATTATATATACCATGTTAGAATATGTAACTTCTGGAAACATTTTCTTTCTAAGAGACTAGCTGTCATAGTTGTCATACATGTTTGTGTGCTGGAGGGCAAACAGGAAGAGAGGGTTGAGCTCGCTTTGTATGAATTACATGAACTGGATTGCTTGTCCAGAGTAAATACTGGATACTCAAAAGAGCTGTTGAGCTATCAGCAAAAGCCAGCTATAGCACTTCAGAGGGTTATTTGTTGGACTTCTCATGCTGTTTGGTGACAATTTGCAGAAATTATGCTGAAGTGCAGAAAACATTACCATGGGCATATCATAGGTGTTTCAGGCAAGTTATTTGGAAACTTTGAACCCTTTACAGCTTCTGCACATACCAGTCTTGGGTGTCTTTAAAAACCTGTGCTAGGAATAGCATTTAATCTTTCATCTTCTTCTGAAGACAGACCATAGAAGTGTTCTGATTTGATTTCCTTGTGCAGAAAGATCCCCATTGACTGTTGTAGAGGTTTTGAGATACAGCCATGAGTTGGAGGACATGTGAATTTGGATGGATTTCTCGCTTGTTGAGCTCAAAGAAGCATTGAGATCCCAAATATTAATGGTATCTTTTCCTGTCTTTTCATATTTTTGTGCTAATGTCATAAATAATTCTCTTTTTTTTCCAGTAGTTGTCAGCATGAGCAGGAACTTACTAACCATGTTGGTAGCACCTGCTTACCTCTGTGTCTGAGGGTCAGTGCATGGGCATTACCAAATCTCTAAGGTAAAAAAAAGAAAGCCAAGCTACTTATTCTTCTGCATATACATAGATCATAAAGATATGCTTATCTCTTCTAAGCCACATACTCAAAGGATCTGCAGCCATGAAAGACTTGATGTATCTCCGTTGCCGCTGGAAGCACCAAGAGCAGGGCTGAGATCCTTCTCTCAAACCTCTAATTTGGTTATGGAAACAAAATGATAAGCAAACTGCATAATCAAACTTGATTAATTATTAGGTTTTAAAGTTTGACCTAATTTATGATTCGGTTTGCAATTGCTAGTGGCTTTATATTTGGACTAAGGTAATAAATTTAACTACCTGAGCAATGGAAAGAGGAATTGGTGGGAATTTATTTATCCTGGAATTGATAAATGCCTTTTCTATAGGGGTGCATTCATGAATTAGACCTACCAACTGGGAAACATTGACTTGTGCAGTTGCACAGTTAAATCAAATAATAGAGCAGAAATAAAAGCTTCTGCTTTAAGGAATGCTGTTTTAGATCTTGTTGCCTTGAGATTTATGTAGGAGTGGGATGTTTTGTTTGCATGCTAAAGATACTACTTAGAAACTAACATGTTTAAACATGTTGAGTACTTTTAGTATGGTTTCGTCATAAAATTCAGCTTATTTTTCAGTGCAATGCTGATGTGCAGTCTCTGCTTTCCCTCCTCACCCCCCCACCCCTTTCACGCCCCCACATTTGTTTCTGCTGTGATAGGTCTAACAGCTTTAGTTTCAAATGCTCCTTGAACATTATAAATGCCAAATGGCTTGGTTTGAGCTTTTATATTCAATTATTGTATTTGAAAGTGGTTGAGATGTCATCTAAATACAAAATACTTGGGCACAAAGTAGTACAGAAAGAAGGTTCTTTTTGAAAATGCTGAGGTTTGAAGGAAGAAATAGTCTGCCCTCTGGTGGCGGTTTTCCGTTGTACAAGAATGGGTTTGTGTGACTAACTGGAAAAAATATTCCTTTGCTCTGAATTGCAATGCTATGGGAAAGCAGAGTTAAAAGCAGCTAAGTTGTAGATGGATTTCATCCTGCAGTCTGACAAAGAGTTCTCCTTCTTCATGGTTTAAGTGAATGGTTGGTTATTTATAGAAGATGCTTAAAATGTTGTGAAGTAGGAATGACAACCATGATGGTTATTTTGAAGCATGTCATTCATACTGCTGAACATAGGTGTCACTACAGCTTTGCTATCCTCTGTACCAAATTCAGTCCTAGTCTTCTCAGCGAAGAAATATTTTAAGTTAGTAAAGCCTATTATATATGGATTTATAAAACAGACTATTTATTTCCCTGTCAGTTTTCCGGTTTGGAGTTGTGTAGTTCGCTTGCCTTGTGGTTTGGTTTCTTCCCCTTTTCCACATGAAGGGAGCTATGCCACATGTGTCCCCTATGTCGTTGAGATAAAAGGGCCATTTGCAGAAGACCTGGGACTGCTGTCAGCAGGCAATAGAAAATAGGAGGGGAACAAAAGGTAAGAAGGCAGAAGTATAGAAACAAGTTGTCACTTTGTACGAAACCGATTCCACAGCTCTTGGAATTTTTTGTGTTCTCCTCCCAAAATTGACAGATGAACTGGTATGGGCTGAAGTCCATGTGTTTGTTTGCTGTGCTTATTTTTCTGCATGTATTCATATCAGTGTGTCAAAACCAAACATACAGAAATGCTTTCCCACAAACATGTGGAAACATACTGTTGCACCACTGGGCAGAAATGTGATTGTGAAAAGGGTTGTTCACATGTGGATTTTTCTCTAACATTCATGAATTTAACAGACAATTCACATTAATAACACTTCCTGTTCTGCTGTATCTTTTTGAATTTTAACATTGATCCATTCCATTTTATTCCCACGTCTTGCTTTTTACTGTGTTGCTCTTTTTATCTTGAATACCAATGACAGAAAGAGCATATCACAGTGGATCCAAGTAGTCAATAGGTAAGGAGAGCTGTCCCTGAATTGTATAAAGACATTTCCCTGTAAATACCAGGTTGCTTAGGATTCAAGGGAACAAGAAATCTGGGTGACTTTGTGCTACGGGAACTGAGCACCAGTTCAATGTCTGCTGTAGAGGTGGGGTCAGTGTCCAACTGAAGTGAATTATAGGCAGAAAAGAATTTAGTGGTGAAGTCCCTCTGCTGTGCCAGTGAGAATTTCTTCTCTGGTTCATTATCTACTTGTTATTCCAGTGAGTATCCTATCTCATGGGAATCCTGTCCTTTCCCTCAGGAAAACAAGGAAAAGTTCCTAATAAAGCCTCAATCTGTATCATGTAGCTATAATCCCATCAGTCTGGTTCCTTGAACCATATTCCACACCTGGTTCACATCTCCTTAACTGAGATACTGTATTTATGGTAATTTCTGGTAGTAATGTTTTTTCATAAATCAAACATCTGTTGCCCCAATTTCCTAGTCACTGAATTCCTGCCGATTCTCAGGTATCTTTCAGATAAATGAGGTGCATCCAATTTCAAAATGCCAATGTATGAAAATTTTAGAGAGCAACAGTTCTCTGCCCTGTCAATACTAACAGTATTTTGAAAAAGAAAGGAACCCTAAATAGTTCGAGACCGTAACATTCAAGATGTGTATTGAATTATAGGACTGCATTTGGGCCTAGTACATTCAGATCCATATGAACTGCTTTCGATCCCTGAAGCAAAGCTCAGTTGGAGTCGGTTGTCCTTAATGTGAGGCCATGCACCTGGAATTTGATTTCTATACTCCCCATTGCAGCCAAAGCCGAAAGGGGCATTGTTTAAACATCATCTGTTAGTTCAGATCTTTGAAAGCTATTTTTGATAAGAGTTAATACATACATCTGAATAAACAAGCCCTTATAGCAAAGGTGCACAATGTCCTTCAACAGTGTTGCTAGATACCACCTGCCCAGTGGGCTGCATTTCAAGCTGTCTTCCCCTAAATGTATTAGATTAACATTTTTGAAGCTGAATCTCATTACATTGTGGGTTTTTTTGTCGTTATTCTGCTGCCTCTGTGCAGTTTCTTTTCAAGTACCACCTCCCCTTTTAATGCCTGCAGATTTCATTTACATATGAATTCCCCTCGCTTTTATATAATTGAAGAATTGAGAGGAGATCTCTAACGGGCTGTAATTCTTTTTGTTATTTCTCTTTTTTCATACGGATTTGCACAAAAGATCAATTCCTGGGATAATTTTAAATACATAATTAACATAAAAATTAATAATAACACCAAAATAATATTGACATTTATTACAAAAGTAAGATGTGAGATACAATTTTCTTAAAAAATTAAACTGGATAATTTTGTGGCATAGACTGCAATGCTTCTGTAAGCACTTTGGTAAGCAACAGCTCATAGGAATTATCTGATGGACTTCAATTACCAACGCATAAAAGCCTGTTTTCACAGAGGACAGTAAAGTATGAATTACTTCATATTTCTGTCCATCCTAAAGAGAAACAAAACCAACAAAAAACCTCCACCCTTCTTTTAAGAAACAAACAAACGTTTTTATTTTCATAATTATTAAATCCGTAGATCTAACCTGAAATGTCATTTTTAGGGGATAAAGTACTTAATGGTGGTAGGCGTTCTTTTTTATTAATTCACTTCACAGAAACCTGTGACATTTTATGGGACAAGATGGACATTTTCTTTAAACTGGAATCCTTCATTCATGTCCCCTTTTACATTCCTCCAATTCTAATTTCAGTTTAAAATACAGACTTACTACATAGTCAAGTGTGGCAAAAAAAAAAAAAATAAAAAAAAAAAAAGTATTAGTCCTAAAAAAATGTCAGAACCAGCTTCGAGACTTGCCATTAAAAATTACTGAACTAGCAAGCAAATCTTTAAAACATCCAATTTTCCTGATTTAAAATATATGCAAAAATGAAGTTTTGCTAATGGAACCCATGTATTCCCAGCAACAGAATTCAGCTTCAATGTGGTATGTCATTGTCACTGCAGAGAGAGCTACATAAAGTGTGAGAGTAACTGAAGTATGGCATAAGTATCACAAAGTATTAAATATGATCCAACTACAGTTTATTCTAATAATTCCTGTCTCAAAATATAGAATTTCCAATAGTGAGTCACTATTAACACTGAAAGACATTTGAGACTGTAAAAGGTGTCAATATTAATGAGTCTGTCTAGACTGGAATATGTTACATTTAGCATTTGACTTGAAAAGGCATCATATCACAAAACCCGCTTTTATACCATTTAACAAGCCACGTTTTTCATTTTATTCTCCTAAAAGACTCGGCTCTGGTAAGAAATTCAATGAATACAAGGGCTTTCCACTGTGCCATTTTATCTCATTAGGACAGGCAAAATGATTGCATTTAGATCAAAATCCAGTCAATTTGTTCTGGAAATTAAATTCAAATCAGTTTGAAGCTATTCATATTGTACAGTTGCTGATGGTGCAACTATACACTATGAATACAATTTCAAGTAGAAAACAAGTGATAGCACTGTACAAATTTAGAATGAGCTTGAAGCAAGAGAATTCCCTTCACAGTGAGGAGCTTGGGTGAAAGACCAGGTAGACAGAGTGCAGAACTTAGAAAAATAATAGCTGTACAAGCAGCAGAGTCAGTGTCAGTCCATGGCATTTTATCTGATATCTCCTAGTTTATGTAGTGTCATGTTACAGTGTCAAGAACATTTCAGAAATGAAATATTGGCCCTTTCAGCCTGAATTTGCCTATGCATCTTCTTTATTGAATACAACATTTTAAATAACAAATGAGTTCAGCCTTTCAAAGCAGCTTCCCCTGTTACATTATGTGAAGAATCAGCTTTCCTGAGTTTGTGATGTTTATACTTCTTTACATTCTTTATCTTTTATTTAGAAACAAATGCCCCTTAAGCCCTGGATGTTGGGTATTTGCTTAGGTTAGTGGCAGAAATAGCTGTAACTACATCAGAAAAACTATTAATAACATTATTTATGTGTTGTGGTAGTTTAAAGACCAAAGGCTCTGTAACCATGTAGTTATCATGGCACAATTATTTCAGAGGGGGACAAAGGTAATACATTATTAATAAGAGGAGTTCTTTGCCAATGGAATTTGGTGAAGAATTGAAGCTCCAGCCTAGGCACAATTGACCAATGTGGGAGACTGAGCTGGGTAATCTCTCTGTACCCTGCCTTGCTGTATTCCCCATGATGTGCAGGCATGAAGATGTTGCTACCAACACAGATAAGTTTTTTATCCAAAATACTAAATCCTATATCTTCCTTATTTCTTCTCTTCCTGCCCTCTCCTTCAGCTAAACCGTGATATTTATCTTATAAATGATATTTATAAGACAGCATAGTACATTTGAAATTATTCAAAAAGTGTAACTTATTTAAGGATTTCTTTTTTCCTTTTTTTTTCTGGCTTATGAGCCTTTAAGTTATAAGCACTGTATTAGGAAAAAAATTGTTACCCTAGAGTTCTACTGAGTATGTGCCTTTGTTTATCTTTCCAGGACTGTTATGCATAGTAGGGAAAATATTCATAGAACTAAAAATAACCTACATGCAAACCTAAATGGAAACAGATATGGACTGAGAGACAAATCCAGCTCTACTCATTTTATATGCAAATAACCAAAACTATGCAATATAGAAAAAGAAAATAATGCAAGTAATGTCTTGTTTAGGACAGCTAAACCATAGCAGCAGTATAAAAAAATAAGGCAGGGAATAATTTGCTTTAGTATTGTCTCATTTTTCTCAGTAAAGATCAAAGCACTCAGGGCCTTCTGTGAAATATGTAAGAATACATTGAGTCTAATTTCCAAGGCCAAGTATTGTAGAAGTTGAAAAGCTGGGAAAAAATGGAAAAGAAACTTTTCCAGGAGGTGTTTTCTCTCAAAATAAACATAGGGAAAAAAATGAGAAAGTATTATTTTATACTGATGTTATTAATTTAATCTATCTGCCCATTCTCTGCAGAAGCTAAATTATGTATGGTTGTTTTCCCTTTCTTAGACATAGCAGTAAAGTCCAGATGTAGCAGGTAGTCTTCACCAAAATTCAGAGTTTTCATGTTAAAAAAGCATCTATTTTTAGTCTCTGTTCTTCAGAACTTCTGGATATTTTATATTTCTAGTTCAGATAGTGGATTGTATTATCTCGTATCTCATCTAATACCCACAAAGGTGAGCAGGGACCCTTCCACTGGCTTACTTAGCTTCATTCATATGATTCCACACAATCTGACTGGTTTATGTATATTTTTAACTTCTCCTTATGCTGTGTTTTCAAGCAGTCAGGAATTGGAGACCCCTGGCAGACACCTTTTTACCAGTTTCTATCTCTGTTTGTGATGTGGTAAAGTCAAAAGCATGCAAGTTTTAAAGGAGCACAGAGTGAGTTGTGAAGTTTCATGATCACACATCTATTTTCAAGGTACTCATATGATGGGCAGAGCAAATTTTTTTGCTTTCTACTTGTCCTACTAAGAAAGGTGATGTGATCCCACTTCTTCCTGCAAGTGGCAATCTTCTCTTTTGAAAACGAGAACTGGATTTGAAAGAAGAGAAAATTACTTGCTACGTTTTTGAGTAAATTTTGGCATCACAACTGCTGCTTTCACGTTGAATTTAACCAGCAGAAATCCCCTGGTGCAGAAAGGAGACCAAGGCTGTGCTGCAGGCAGCACTTGCATTTTTCCACAGAAGTATTGCAAAATGTATGGCAGCTGTGGGACTGCAAAACAAACCCACATCCTCCTTTTAGCTCAACCTCAGCGATCATGTTCGTTTCTCTGTTAACCACTAGTACTGGGGAAGAAAGAAAAGAAAATGAAACGCAGACAACAAGAAAAAGTAGGTGATAGAAAAGATGATGGGTATCAAAGAACAGATATTTTACACCCTACCTGTCTACCTACCTACCTACATAAGTTGTGTCAGAACTTTAACCTAAGTACACAACTCAAGGTAGTGTACTGGGGCTTTCAGACTACTTAATATCCTTTATTTCCTACATGAATTAATTCCTTAATGTAGTTTGATACCAGAGAGGATATTTTGCATAGAGTATGTGATGGTGTATAGAAAACATGAGCAGACAAGGAGAGATTCCTGGAGATTTAGAGCAGCTCAAAAGCAAAAGAATCAAAACAATCAAATTAATATCAAGTGAAAGTTTTGGGGGGGGGATTTTCTTGTTTTGTTTTTAAGAAAAATCTTATTGTTCTCTCTTGTATTTAGAATTATTTTCCATAGTGAAGATTCTTCCTGGCCCAATATGGTTTAAAATACTTTTTATTTCAGTACCATAAAACAGCTCCTTCCTTAGCCAAAATATATGCAATAAATCATCCAATAGCAATAGAACGAGATCAGTGTGTGCAAACATGACGATTGCACTAGAATCCTACTGCATCTTGGTTGTTTGAAAAGTAACATCATGACTAAATTCTGATCTACGTGCTTAATTGCCTAAAACTGTTTCTCTGATGTTTACTTTTCTGTTTACCTGTATTTCATTGAAAAATTGTAATAACTCACTTCATGAGTGCATGGGGACAGTATCACTGATACACTTGGAAAAACAAAGAAAATTGGAATTGTATTAATTGAAAATGTACAAAGGAATATTTACTCAGGGTTTGGGGTTTTTTTCCAAATGCCTACACAATTAATAAGTGAGACTTCTCAATAAAAATTCAAATTAAATAAACACAAAGAAAATTGGATAGAGTCATATTGAAGACAGCTGTATTATGAAACAGTAATTTGCTCTGAATGCCAGGAATGTTTGTCATAAAGCAGCTGCCTATTAAATATTATCATACTGTGTTATCTACCATATTTCCACTTCTCCTGTTTTGAGTTGGTATAAAATATACTTAAAGGAGAATTTAACTATTGTTTTTTTACATATTACAAATAAGATGATGAATGAATGAATGAATGAGTAAATGTATCCAAGTTACCTGAAAGGCATTTATTTTGAGGCCATACTTCTACAGAAAAATCAAAAGCAAACCAGAAAACCCAAAACATTCTGCTTAATGTGAAAACACTTTGACAAATAAAGCAAGCACTGGCAAAATTATCAATTGCAAACTTCTTTACTAACAAGGAAGCTCAAATGTCTTAGCATATTCCATTCTGTTTCTTGACTATTTCTCCACCATTATTAGAAAGTATCATGTGCCTATTTTACTTAAAAACAAGCTGGCAAAGGCAATTTAGATCTGGTTTGTACAGTCAGTTTAATAAAATACTAACTGTACTGAGTTGCAATGAGAGACATTTACAAATTCGTAACCCCTTGGGTATTTTCTCATAAAAATGGG